ATTGTTCTATTTATTCTTATGCCAGTACTATCCTGACTTGATTATGGTGGTTTCACAGTAGGCCTTAAAATCAAGTAATGTAAATCCTACAACTTTGTTCCTCTTTTTCATTTTTGTTCTTCTAGGTTCTTTTTATTTCTATATAAAATTCAGAATCTGTTTGTCAATTTCCACAACAAAGCTGACTGGGATTTTCCCTATTACAAAGGTTTGAAAAATGGCCCACCCAAATATACAAGGTCTGTCTGGAAAGAGTCCAGCCATTGTTAATATAATGAGATTGGTTTGTGTGACACCGATGTAACCTGGAAGCCAAGGAGAGTGGACTGGAATGAGCATGCGTGAACAATGACGACTTCACTGCACTGGTCAGTGGGAGCAGTAGACACCATTGAGTGAGCATGTGTACTGTGTGGCTATGGCATTCAAAATGACTGAGACAATACAGCAATGAGTCTGCATCTAATTTTGCATTAAGCTTGAACATCCTCCATGGAAACTGTTCAGATGATTCAGAAGGCCACAGTTATGAGAAACTGGTGATTGGCAGCTTCATTATGACAATGTACCTGCTCATAAATCACATCTTGTGCAGAGTTTTTTGGCAAAACATCAAATCACCCAGGTGATTCAGCCTACTCCACTACAGCCCAGATTTGACACCCTGTGACTTCTGGCTTTTCCCAAAACTAAAATCACCTTTGAAAGAGAAGAGATTTCATACTGTTGATGAGATTCAGGAAAATATGAGGGTGCAGCTGATGGCCATTGGGAGAACTGTGTGGGGTCCCAAGGTGCCTACTTTAGAGGGAACTGAGGCATCATTGTCTTATGTACAATATTTCTTGTGTCTTGTATCTTCTTCAATAAATGTCTGTTTTTTATAGTACATGGCCAGATACTTTCTGGACAGACCTCGTGCATCCACGTCCTAATCCCCAAAACTGTGACTATTGCCTTATTTGGAATAAAGGGTCTCTGCAGCTATAATTAGGTTAAGGATCTAGAGATGGGAAGATCATCTCGAGTTATTCAGGTGTGTCCTAAATCCAATGACAAGTATCCTTGCCAAATAAACTCACAGAGGAGAAAATGCACGACATACACAGAAGGTAAGGTGATGTAAAAATGGAGGCAGAGGTTCAAGTAACGTCACCAGAAGCCAACAAGGTCAAAGAAAGCCACCAGCTACCAAAAGTTGGAAGAGGCCAGGGAGGATTCTCTTGAAGAGCCACTAGAGGGAGTGAAGCCTCACTGACACCTTGCTTTCGGACTTTTCTGGCCTTCAGGCTTGTGAGAGAATCAATTTCTTGTTTTAGCCAGACATTTGTGGTAATTTATTGCAGCAGCCATAGGAAACAAATATACCCATTATCAGGCTGAGGAATTTCCATTCTTTGCCTAGTTTTTTTCTTTCCAAGAATGGGTGTTGGATTTTGTCAGATGCCTTTTCTGCATCAATTGAAAAATATTTTCTCCACATATTTTGTGAATGTGGTCATAATCCATATAGACTCTCTGCTCACATGGTATTAATTTTAGTTGGATCATAGCCGACACCCTTTGGAACACCTGTTTGTGAAAGCATTGGGGTGACATATTGTATCAAATTGTAAATATGTCAGCATGAATCTTCTTGCTTTATATTTGCCAAAGTCATTTTAAAAAGTCAGGCTGTAGAACAAAACTATCTCAAAATACTTAGAAGAGAAAAACAGCAATAACAGAATTTGTCCCAAGTGGTTCTTCGTAACAGGGACCATATCGGTAACCCTTGGGTCCAGTTTTGGCCTCGAGAGATACTTCATCTGGCTTCCATAGCGTGTCCAAAATTAGGAAATTTTATATTGAAATACTAGATAGCATGCCTGCCCTGAAAATTATACCGACTTGGCAATACTGCCCTGAATTCCAGGATGGCAGTGCTGGCCTGAGTGCACAGCATCTGCTCCTTTCACAAGGAATGTTCTTTTCACTTCACCATAATTTAATTTCTCATTGTTTTAACCTTCATGGAGATTTGAGTTTGCAACTTCTGCTCTAGAGCTTTTGTTGGAGCACATCGTGATACTGAGGGAAGACTCAGGAAGGAGGGTGTCACATTTACCAAATCCACTTATTCATGTTTGAGGAGAACTTTGTGGAAATAACCTAAAGACAACAAAGATTTCCATATAATTCATTATCGTCAAGGCAGAGAGTCTGAACAACTGGCTTGTGGATAAAGATGGCACAAAGAAGCACTAAAATATCAAAACTAAAACCCTAAGCCATTCAAAGAAACCAGAAAAAAATAACCCTCATGTGCTGCAATCAAAGAAAAAAAGTTCCACTTTATAATGGGAAATGTGAGAAGTGAGGGTAAAGCAGTCACCAAAGACTGATGTGAGGTGTGTCTACAACATTCCTCTCCACAGGTCTTCTCCACCCCTATTGCAAGACATGCTGAGAAAAAGATGATCGGGTCAAAATTCTGAACATTTTCACAAATGTCCTCCAGCTTGGAAAGAAGCCAGTGGCATCTCTGTGAAATGTGAAGGAACTTTCACAAACATCACTGTGGGATCTTGCCAGAGCAGGAGAGTTTGCACCTTTTAGGGTACTGTGCTGAATTGGCAAGTGAACTGAAGCTCATAGGTGTGGGATAAAACTTGGCTGGCTTGAAGGAGGGCTGGTGAGGACTTAAAGGAATCTCAGAAGGGATGGCCACTTCCCACCGCCGGCTCCACACTCTGAGTGTGGTGATCCCCCATCGCCTCGGCCCTTGTCTGCATACGAACCCTCAGAGCACAGAAAAAGTGGAAACGACACTTAGCCCAAAAACTGAAGCCCAGAATAGGGAAGACAGACATATCTCACAAGTTCATTTGCAGGGTATTAGTGTAAATACGAAATCTGTTAACTTTTAAGGATAAGCAAGATACGAGATATGATATAGGTGTTGTGTAAATATCCCATAATGTGGGAGATAGAAGTGTAAAGCAAGGAAAATAGCATGCAGAAAACAGACGAGGGACCAAGTCTAGAAGAAGACATAACCAAGGGACAGAAAGTTACATTCCTTACATGTGTTTTACTCTACAGGAAAAACAAAATTAAGAATGGAATCCTCAGAATAAGCTCAGTGACGACATAAGATAAAAATGTGATAAAAAGAGAAATCACAGAGCTAAGAGATTCTAAACAACATGACTTTAAAATCCAGTAAACTAGAAAAGCCAATAAACAATATTGTGAGAGTATCAGAGTGAATGAAAAAAAAAGATGGATGTCGAAGAAAAAGATCAAGTATAAGGATAAATGGTGAGTGCTGTAGAAAATCCAACCAATGAAAGATAAACTTATTCAGATACGTAAGTGGGAAACTGCACTGAGAAAAGAAGAGTGGAATCCATAAATTGAAAAATGATACTACATACTGAAGGAAAAAACTGATTGGCATACTTGACACTGAGACATAGCCCAGGTAAGGATATAAAACTAACTTTAATTTTTTAAAAATCCTCACTCAAGGATATGTTTATGGATTTTGAGGGGGTGGGGGGAGAGAGAGAGCGAGAGAAAGAGAAACACCCATGTGAAAGAGAAACATTGATCGGTTGCTTCCTCTAACCGAGGAGTCGAACCTGTAACCTTAGGTATGTGCTCTGACTGGGAACTGAACCTGCAGCCTTCTGAGGTACTGGATAACGCCACAACCAACCGAGCCACCCCAACAGGACTAAAGTGTGCTTTCATGGTAAAAAAAAAAGAATTCTTAAGGCATCCAAGCAGAAAAATCAAACCACTTAGTAGGGAAAAACCATATAGGGTTCAGGTCTCTCCACATAAATCTGTATCAAAAATCAGTGAACCAATTGTCTTGTTTTGTTATGTTTTGAAGGAAGGTGTCAATCCAGAATGTTTATCCTGCAAAGTTTTTGTCTACACGTAGAGAGTAAAAAAACACACAGATAAAACTTTAAGGTACTCTATAGCCCTCCTTAAGAAAACCATTTGAAACAGAGAGCAGTCCAACAAAAATTAAAATAAAGAATTTATGAATGGATATGTTATAATGAACCTTGAATTCTTTACAGTATAGCACTGAGACTGAATGTCTGGGAGAATAAGGCGGCAGAGTAGTGATAAATGTTTGAAATGTCAGTAAGAAGAGGTGACATAGGCCATGGAAATTGGGAGATCGCAGTGAAGATGAGTGGAAATGTAATCTACTATTAACTTCATATTTCAAAGCGATGAGACTCTGAAAAATGCACCAAATTCCTTATCTTGCTAAGTATTTTTCTTTAGCATTCATAAGCCTTTTAGGAATATATATATGTGGTAAAGGAGAAAGTAACCGCTGGAGATTTGCTTTGGTTTTTTCTTAAATTCAAAAACATGGAAAAAAATTCAAACTACTTAAACTGTGTATGATACCATACTTATAAAACTACTTCCATGTAATCTTTTTGTGCCTTAGTGTCTTCCTCTGTAAGACGCGAAAAACCGTATTTCTCCCAGGGTTGGCTTGAGCAGTAATTTATTTACCTGGGAAGTGCTTAGAACAGTGCCTGGCTCACAGTTAGGGGTCCCATCTAAGCTGCCATTACTTCCACGCTGCACAAAGCGGAGGTAAGTTCAGCTCGGCCTGTTGCAGGGCTCCCCTAACATCTGTCGTGTTGCTCGTTTATGATTTGGCTCGGGGCGGCTCATCTTGGTGGTGACTTCAGCGAACAGTCTTCGATCCCGGACGGGGCTTCGGCGCTGCCTCGGGTCTACCTGTGCCAGATCTGCACCTGGGCGACCTTGGCTTTGCCCGCACAGATGACTCAATCGCCCAGGCGTCTGGGCGCCTGTCCTCTTCCTCCGCCCAGGCCGCCGACCCCCTGGCTCCCCAGCGGGGCCTCCTCCTGCCACGTGACGCCCCCGCCAGGGGCCCCAGCGCCCTCCTCGCGGACGCGCCGTTCCGGCTCCTGGGCTCCGCCTGTGCGCGGCCTCCTCAGCACAGCCATCCCCGCGGCTGCCGAGGGCGGTAAAGCCCACGGCATCTGCCATTTGTCACTCAGCCCGTTGGTACCGCCCCAAGCCTTCATTTAGACACGTCTGGGGCGGATTCTCGCCTCACTCTCTTGGTGGACGGACAGACGATCGGACGGGGCAGCTCCCCCCTCGTCCTGCAGACAGCGGGCCTTGGCGCGCGGGGCGCTTCCCCGGCTTGCCGTCATGGCCGCGGAGGCGGCACGCCCGAGCTGCCTCGCCTGAGTTCCTGGGGGCTCTCGACCCCGAAGGGTAGGTGGTCGGACGCCGGTGGCCGGGCTCCGCGGCCGCGGCCCGCGGCGGCCGGGGCAGCGGGCGGGCAGCGGGCGGCGTGGCGGCGGCATTGCCGCGGAGCGCGGCCGGCGGCTCCGTGCCGCGCTGGGGAGGGTGTGCCCGGTGCCGCCGCGCCGTGTACGTGACGGGGTCCGGGCTGCCCCGGGCGGGGTGTGAAACTCCGACAGATTGTCACCGGCCAGCCCTGTCCGCCGAACAAAAACCGCTTTCGCCCGCTCGTGTTTAACGCTACCTTGGGAAGCATTCGCGTATCTTGGGCATGCAGTAAATAGACTCGGTTTTTGAAAACTGGTACTCTAAGCTTGGCAAAAGGCAAAAAAAAAAAAAAAAAGTCTGTTAAAAGTAATAACACGACTAAAGTTGAAATGTTTGCATGTTTGTAAATGCATTGTGGAAAATATGGTTCGTCTTATGCTTTAACGTATGGACCGTATCTGATAGACTCTTAAAACTGTTTTAAAATGTGGGCTCCTAAAATTTTTCTAGACTCGGATAACTGATAATGCAACTTTGGTTATTTAGTCTCAGCATCGGACTTGGACGCTGGTGGGATTTCTACTTCTTAATAAATGCACTCCTTTAATTTTCACTTTTTCTCTCCCAACAAATGTGTTACTTTTATGTTTTAGGAAACCAATAAAAATTAAAAATAGAAACACTCTGCTTAGGTCCTCCTTCTTCCACGAATCCTTCCCTAACCCCTCCCTCCCTGGGCAGGATCCTAGGCCCCTCCTGTGCGCTTTCTGGGGCCTCACTGGGGTCCTGGTCCCTAATGTGCGCCCCACCCCCACCCCGCCCCACCCGGTGCATTAACCCATCAGTCTCGCTCAGAGCCGTAGGATCCTCAGCACATGGTAAGTCATTAATACTGTTTAACGACCGAAGGAAACGATAAAACCGCTTTATGTTTCACACTTTCAGCTCTAAACTTATCAAATGGTAAACTTAGATAAGTATATTTGTTTGAAAGTTAAGGATCTAGAAAAGTTGACCATGTCAGATGTCCCTGTTCCACGTCTTAGCAGTCCCACTTTTAGGTATTTAGGTATTTATCCTCTAGAGCAATGTTTTTCAAAGTTTGAAGCCCATTTTAGTGGGTCGCGAAATCAGTAAAGTGGATAATGATCAGGATTGGTACAACACGAATTAATAGAGAATAGAAAATACCAGAATGTATCTCACATTATAGGGTATTTATGAAACTTTTTTTCCTCTCAGTTTTATACACAACAGAGATGTGTGTCATGATGTAAAACGTCATTCCTTAGTATGAGTCATGGTCAAAAAAGTTTGAAAGCCACTGCCCTACATAAATTTTTATACATATACACAAACAGACGTGTGCAAGGTTTACTGTGGTGTTGTTTGTTATACCCCCAAAGCTGGAAGCCACCCTCACGTCCATCTGATAGGAGAAAGGTAAAGTATACTCTCTTCATAAAATGAAACCCACCCAGGACAGTGGTGAACAAAGTAGTTCTGTGTTTTAACACAAATGTGTCTCAATGCTGAGCAAAAAAAAAAAAAAAGTTGCTGAAGAATACTGTATGATATCATCTATGTGAAATTCAGAACCCGGTGAAATAAAGTTGTTGTTAAGGATGCATGCATAGGCATTAAAAGTAGTAAAGAAATTAATACCATAAAAGTCGAGTTAGTGGTCATCTCCTGGGGGAGTGAGGGAGGCTGTGGGTGTGAAGGGACACACTGAGGGGCTTTAAGAATGCGGGAGATGCTTTGTCCTGGGACCTGGGCAGTGGTTACGTGGGTGTTTTGCTTTATAACTCTTTGTTAAATGATGCATATGTCTATATGTTAAATTTCCCCCCCAAATATATTAAAATATGGGCATCTCAAAATGAAGAAACCTGAAGCCAGGGCTATAGTCCATTATTCATATTTTCCAGCTGCTCTTAAAAAAAAAGTAATTTTTGATCAGGGAGCGGTACCTGGGGAATTTAAAAAATATTAGTAATATTTTATCTCATAAATTTTATGGTAGATGCATCAGTGTTTATTAAATTTTTAAGTTTTTATATCCTAGATAACTTATAATATTTTAAAAGATATTTAGAATAAAATTAAAATCATTCACAGATACTTGTGTGAACATTTTGGTGTGTGTGTTTTCTAAAATGCAATATTTATGTATTTTTCACAAAACTGAAATTATACTTTATATAGTCATTTAAAATAAAGTTGTTTTATGAAAAATTAAATACTGAAAAGCACATAAAAACATAACAAACCGTCAGGGATTTTAAAATGCTAACACGCTGTCATATTTACTTAAAAAATTTCAGTTCCTCAGTCGCTCTGGGCCACATTTCAAGTGCTCAGTAGCCAAGTGTGACTAGTAGCGATTTTATTACTTTAGATTATACTGCACTGTGTAACAGAACATTTCCAACACTGCAAAAATTTCTGTCGGGAAACGTTCAAGATACAAACCCTTTGTTGATTGTATAAACAGCACACAGTCTTTTCTTTGCGCTTTTGTGCCTTAAGGTAGTCTTCTCTACTCTTTAGGTAATAATACAGTTTGAAACTTTTTTCTAAAAGTTCTGAAACTTGTATTTTCTACATATTTGAATCTTTACCTCACACATTTATGTAAGTACGTATATGTCAGTGTATAGTTTTTATTAATGTTGTGAGATGAGATTAATCTGTTTTCTTTTTCCCCGTGTGGAGCAGTCCCAGTGGTCTTCAATGCCACCTCTGTCACAAACATACTCCCAGATATGCCTGGTCTCATTTCTGCTCTTTACACTGGTCATTGATTTGTCCCTGTAAATTCTACAGATTTTGATTTACCATTGCTTTATATTTAGTGTATTTTTCAGTTCTAAGAGTTAAAACTTTTTTCACTATATTTTTAATGAGGTTTTTAGAAGTCTTTCCTTCTTCCAAACATGGAAGTTTTTGCAAGTTATCCTTTTGTTTCTGATTTCTAACTTGCATTGTAGTCAGCAATTGAGGGCTCTATGCTACCGATTCTTTGAAATTTGAGAATTGCTCTATGGTCTTCATGGTTACTTTTTCAACTGCTCCTTGAATGATTGAGAAGAATATGTTCTCTCAGACTTTGGGGGCAAAGTAGGTGTGTGTGTATACACACACATATACATGTATGTACATAATATCTGTATGTACATACATACATACACATATATCTATGTCTTAGATCAAGCATAAGAATTGTGCTGCTCAAGTCTTTTTAACCTTAGTAGTATTTTGGTTTGTTCTATCAATTATTGAGATAAGTGTGATAAGAACACTACAATACGATAATGCATTTTCTCAATTTCTACTTGTAGTTTTGTCAACTTTGCTTTCTAAATGTTGAGAGTATATGCAGGTTTGGCATTGCTCTATCTTCTCTGTGAATTGGACCTTTTGTTATTCTGTAGTGACTATGCCACTGCTGCCAAATGTCTTTTTACTGTCTCTCTTGTTTTAAAACACTATAGTCACACCTTTCTCTTAGTTAGCCTTGGCTTAGAGTATCTCTTTCAAATAGGTAAAACCAGATTGTTTTTCAAATGCACACTGGCAATTTTTGTCTTTTATCTAGAGCTCTCAGCCCAATTCAGTTTAATATAATTACTGATAATATGTAGAATTAAAGTTAGCATTCTATTTTATGAATATTTTTATCTTATTTTTGCCCTCCTTTGCCACCTTTTGCATTTTTTCTTATTCCATTTTATTCTCTCTCTGCTAGTATGAAAAATGTATGTTTGATTTTGTTCTTTTACTAGTTTCCTATACATTTTTAACAAGTAAACTTAACTTACTGTAAAGTTTATTAATTCTCTTCTTCCAAATAATTAAAAAAAAAACAAACAAACAAGGTTGCCTGACTCCAGTTAATTTCCTGGCTTACATGTTTTTGTCATTGAGAGTTTTAATTCTGTCTCAATTTTTTTCTCCTATAAATTTGACTTTTTTTTTAATGAATCCTTTGCTTGTCATTCCTTCTTGCATCTCAGATCTCAGGTAAGCTTGTTTATTAAGAGGCTGTTGATGGCAAACTTTACATGAAAATGTCTTTATTTTGCTTTCATTCTTGAATAATGTTTTTGTTCGGTATACAATTCCAGGTTAACAGTTTCTTTCTCAGCTCTTTGGACCATCTAATTGACTTCAACCTCAATGTTACAGTTCAAATAACTGCTATTTGTTGGTAATCTGTTTTGGGTTTTGGGGGTTTTTTTATGCCTGATTTTAAAATCTCTTTATGCTTGTGTTCTACAGCTTTACGACCGACAGAGTTTATCCAGGTGTGGACATTTCATTTTCCTGGACTGATTGTGTTTCCTGGATCTAAGGTTGGTCTTTCATCAGTTCTCAAAAGTTTTTTCCTTTATCTCTTTCAGTGTTGTTTTTCCTCTGTTCTTTTCATTCCTTCAGGAACTCTGGTTTGACTTCTGTTAGGCTTCCTCATTCTGTCATTCATGACTTCTCATGTTAATCTAGTTTTTATACATTTTTGTTCATGTTGAACCTAGATAATTTTAGATCTGCATTCTGATCTTTGTCTCGTTTTTATTTTCTTCTCCAAATTGAGCCATGAGCTACATCCAATAAAAACAAAAATAAAGTGTCTGACTTGATGAAATGTATATGTGTATATGAGTGTGTGATCACCACCCAGATAAAGATGTAAAATATTTTCATCCTGCAAAAGTTCCTTCCAATCAATAGAGCCGCTCCTCTCCCCTGGTCAAGGAGTCTCTTCACTTCCACCACCATGCATTATTTTGAGGTGTTCTTGAACTTCTGTAAAGGAGATCATATAGTTATTCTTTTTATGTGTTGTTTTCTTTTGGTCATAGGATATTTATGAGATTAATCCATGTTACATGTATAAGTAGGTTTTGTGGGGGGTTTTAATTTTTGCTTTACAGCAAGGGGTAGCAAACTATGGCCTGTGGGCCCAGGACATATTTTATTAAAATATTATTGGACATTGCCATGTCCATTCATCAGAGTTGAATAGTTGTAACAGAAGCAATATGAGCCATGAAGCTTAAACTACTTTTTATTGGTTCCTTTACAGAAAAAGTTTGGTTTGTATGGATATACCACAGTTTATTTATTCTTTTCTTATTGATGAACATATGCATCGTTTTTGGTTTGGGGGCATTATAAATAAAGTTACTGCAGATGTTCATGACACTGCCATTGGTGGGTATATACTCATATTTCCTGAATATATACCAAGGAGCCGAATATATACCAAGGAACTAAGTGGTCTTCAGGTAAGTTGGCTGCATTTCTATGAATATTAGTAATGTTAAACACCAGTTTATATTTTTATTTGCCATTTAGATTTCTTTTGTGAAGTGCCTTTTAAAATCTTTTGTCTACTTTTTTTATTAGGTTATCTTCTTGTTAGTGATTTTTAGTTCCTTATATATTCCGGATATGAAACCATTATCCTGTTTATAAATAATTCCTACCTGTGTGAAATTTGCCCATTAATGGTTCCTTTGGGTGAGCAGATTTATTTTTACAAAGAAGTAAGCCCAATTCATCAGTATTTTTGGGGGGTGAGGTGTTAGGACTATTTTCCGCAGTGCTCACAGCATTTTCTTCCTCCCTCAGATTTGCCCTCCCTCAGGCTTCTAAAGATATTTGCCTGCAGTTTCCTCTAGAACCCTGATTGTTTTAGTTTTCACAGTTGAGTCTTTGATTTATCTCCAGTTGATTTTTGTATGTGGAGTGTGGTGGAGATCAAGATTTATTTTCCCTATGATCATCCAAATGCTCTACCCATTTATTGAAAACACCTCTCTTTTCCATCAAGTTGCAGTGGGGTCTTTGTTAAAAATGAATGGTTATATTTGGGGTCCTCTTCTGGACTCTATTCTGTTCTACTTAAAGTATTTATCAATTCTTCCATCAGTACCACTAGTAGTAAGTCCTGGCAAAAAAAAAAAAAAAGTAGTGTAAACCCTCCAATTTTGTTCTTCTTTAGCTGTTTTAGTGCTTCACACTTCTATATAAATTTTAGAATGAGCTTGTATCTATTTAAAAAATGTCTACTAGACTTTTGATTACAATTGCACTGACTCCACAGAGCAAATTTTGGAGAATGGATATCTTAATACCTTCTAGTTTAATTAATGAACATGGTATATCTCTCACTGAATCAGTTTTACAATTTTTTTCTAGTATTTTTTTTTGTGTTTTTTAGTGTAGAGAACTCAACAAATTATCGAATTTGATTTCTATTCAAATAGGCATTTGATTTCTAATGCTAATATAAATTATATCTTAATTTTATTTTCCAGCCACATTGCTAGAATAAATACAATTGATTTTTATATAATGAGCTTGTATTTTGTGACCTTGCTAAATTTACTTTTCCATTCTGGTAGCTTGTAGGTTGTTGGGGATTTTCTAAATGTACAATGACATCATCTGCAAAAAATAAAATTTAATTTGACTTTCTAATCTGTATTTCTTTTTTTCTTTTTCCTGCCTTCTTGCACTGGCTGGTAACACTGGAAGAATATTTAGCAAAGGTTGTTAAAATAGTCATTCTTGCTTTTTTCTAAACTTAAAGGAAGATAATTCAATATTTCACAGTGAAGGATAATGTTCACTTTATTTTTTTTGTAGATGCCTTTTACCAGATTGAGAAATTTTCTTCTATTGGCAGTGTATGGAGATTTGTTTTCACTCATGGGTATTAACTTTAAAACAACCTTTTTATTACTGAATAATTTTAGATTTATGGAAGAGTTGCAAAGATAGTATAGAATGTTCCTATTACCCTTCACTCAGCTCTCTTGAATGTTAACATCTTACATGGTACATTTACCAAAATAAAAAAATTAACATTGGCACAATAAATACTATTAACTAAATGACAGACTTTATTTAGGTTTCCCCAGTTTTTCCACCAATGTTCTTTTTCTGTTCTAGGATCTAATCCATATACCACATTGCATTTAGTTATCACGTCTCCCTGCTCCACTTCAATCTGTGACAGTTTTTTAGCTTTTACTTGTTTTTCATCACTTGCCTCTTTTGAAGAGTACTGGTCATGTGTTTTGTACAGTGTCCTTCAACAGATGTTTTCTTATTGTTCAACCGAGGTTGTGGACTTTGAGGGAAGAATACCACAGAGATATTGCGCCCTTCTGTTGCATCCTGTCTGGGAGAATGTGATGTCCATATCAACATGTTAACGATCCCATAGCTTAGATGGTGGCTGCCAGATTTTTCCATTGTAACATTGCTACTTTTTACTTTCTATCTGTTTTGTTAGAATCATATCCACACTCATGGGGAGGAGAGGGAAAAGCATCAGATAATTTGTGGATATATGTTAAAATTACCTAATTAATACATATTTTGAGAAAGAGATTGTGAGGGTTTGCAAATGTCTTGTTTTTCCTTTAAGCTTGCCACTAATTTTAGCATTCAGCTGCTCTCGCCTGCAGCAGTTATTATTGTGGTATTCTAATAGTGAGTTTCCATTTCCTTCATTCTTTCTACATTCATTGATTGGAATCCTGACTCTGGAGCCAGATTGCTTGGGTTCGTTTCCTAGTTCTGCCTCTTCCTGCTCTACAGTGTAATCTTGGGCAACCACTTCTCTACATTTCGATTTTCTCATCTATATAATGTAAATAAAAGTATCTACCAATAAGGTTGTTGAGATGATTAAATGAGCTCATATTTAGAAAGGGCTAAGAATTGTACTTAGTCCCTAGGGATATAGATACAGATATAGATACAGATATTGTATTTTTTAATGTGGTAGGTTATTTTAATTTTAACTATTTAAATATATAAATTAATCACTAAATTATCTTGTACTCCTGGGTAAACTTAACATATATTTCTATGATCTGGATTTAGCTTATTATTTAATTTTTCTCATGTAATATTCATGAGTCATACAGTGGCTCTTTTGCCATTGTAAATGATGTAATGAATGATAGATTCCTAAAAAAAAAATTTTAAGTAAAAAAATAAAGATTACACAAGAGCTTAGCAACAGAGGTGGGAACATTCCCAATTTCCTAGAGCGATTTATATCTGAGGTAGAGATAGAGATCAAGATAGTTCTTGCAAATGAGTATATTTTTCAATATTGAATTGAGCAAATTCAGAACTTGGCATATATTATGAAAAATGGCCCCTCAACAGGAAAGAAAAATGATCTTAGCTTTCCTACATGTTTCACCTTGAACAGTATATTATCGTAGAGGTTTTAATATTTGGAATCTTTTAAAAGATTCATTTGTCAACAACATGTATTGAGCACTTTTGATATGCCAGGCAATATGTTTTGCTGTTATGGAATTCTTCGTTACTTTTGAGCATAGGGGCCTTGTCAGGGTCATTTCAGAGGCTGAAGGCAGGCCTATTTAAATCATTCAAGGAAATACAATACCTGTTCCTTTTCTAAAAGTGGCTACAATTGAATTCTAATATTTTTTCTGTTTCTTTCACTCCTCTGAGCATCTTAGATTAGGCCCTATCATCCTCTGCTCTTTGTCCATGAATTGAGGTTTTTCTTTCCTTTCCTGCATGGATAGTGACCACTGGGTTCAGTTCCCTGAGGGAAAAAAAATCGTTTAGCGAGATCCCAGGACTTGAGAAAACAGGACCTTGATTTCTTAGCCTGACAATGGTCTTTTTCTGTCTAGTTCCAACTTGCTTTACTAGCTTCTTGGTCTTATTCCTTAGAATTAGTTCATTGACACAGTTGGCCTTAACTGCTCGTCAGAAGAATCTGCAGTCACTGTACTATGTTGGAGGCTCGGCTTTTATTTTTGCATTTCCTGTCCCTTAAGTGGATTTTCCAAAATTTTTCCAGGCTGTGTTCAGAGAGTACTCACTCCAAAATCCTACTAACCAGGAACCCTATAATTTGTAATCTGTAGTCCTTGTTAAATTCTTACCTTTCATTACCAATCTTTATGTCTAAATGTCACTTCTAGTTGGTCAGGTTCTCAGAGATAGGGTTCCAGTACCTACCAGGATAATTTGCATACAAAAAGCTATTGCTAAATAGCTATCGTTCTTAAGTACCTACCATAATTGTACTACAGTTTTGCAAAGTATTATTGTCTCTTTTAAATTGTGAAGAAATTCAGTATCAAAGAGATTAAGAAACTTGCCCAACAAGTGGGAAAACTGGTTTGTCTGATTCAAAAGCTCTTGCTATTTCTTCTGTGCCATACTACCTTGGTACTAAAAATAAATAGTTAAATAGAATTATTTAGTAGACATATTTATGGTAAAATACAGCACTGAAATTTCTTTACTTACTTTGTCAGTATGCTCCTCAGAGTCTTGGTTTCAG